AAGATCGACTTGTACCGTTCCCGGGGTGCCGCTGCAGGGGAGACGTGCGGCAAACGCCTTGGCGGGGGCCAGTGTCCAGCACTGCCCCCTGTGCCTGTGCCGTGTTATTGCACCTTTGTGTTCTCACTACTGCCAGAGTCCCCCATTAAGTCCACACACAGGGCGCTTATGATGTCCAATACCCCCCCCCCCCTTTCCAAAATTCTGTGCTTTTGGGTTGGAATTCCCAATGTGTAGACCTCATCCGTGTCATGTGGGGTAGTGTGATGCGTCTGGTGGAGGTATTGGCTTTCCTTGGAGGATCTGGGGGGCTTCCATGGTGGAGCTTTGCAGGGTGCCCCGCTACTTGGCCTAATAAAGACCACCACCCAGAAGGTGCCGATGATCGGGGAGTGGTGTCTGACCCCCAAAATGCATTGAATTTTTAAAAAAATTTTCATGTAAAACAAATTAATTTGGACTCGTCCTTCAGCCCGGCGATCCATCCATCGCTGCACAGAATATTCTGCTACTCGGTCCAGTCTGGGCAGAATACTGCTTCCCTCTAACACAAAGCCGGGCAATTCAAGTGAAATATACGATGAAAAAATCCAAATCTGAGGTTCCATCACTACCAACCATCAACCAATCGGACAGTCTGGAGGCAGCTGAAGTTCTGTGTAGATCTTCACTTCTCGAGACCATTGCAACCACCCATCGCATCATATTCGACCCCCCGGAGTCAGTACTTTGTAGGACCCCCTTTGGGTGCCATTCCAGCTGCAAGTCTTTTTGGGGATGTCTCTTTGCACATCTAGAGAGGGACATTTCTGCCCGTTCTTCTTTGCAGAATCCCTCAAGCTGTCAGATTGGATGGAGGGCGTCTGGGAACAGCAATTTTCAGGTCTGGCCACAGATTCTCCATTGGATTTGGGTCTGGACTGTGACTGGGCCATTCTAACACATGAAGATGCTTTGATCGGAACCATTCCATTGTAGGTCTGGCTGGATGTTTCGGGTCGTTGTCCTGCTGGAAGGGGAACCTCCACCCCGGTCTCAAGTCTTCTGCAGACTGACAGGTTTTCTTCTAAGATTGCCCTGTATTTGGCTCCATCCATCTTCCCATCAACTCTGACCAGCTTCCCTGTCCCTGCTGAAGAAAAGCATCCCCACCACATGATGTTGCCACCACCGTGTTTCACAGTGGGGATGATGTGTTCAGGGAGATGTGCAGTGTTAGTTTTCCCCCACACATAGCATTTTGCTTTTAGGCTGTAAAGTCCCATTTTGGTCTCTTCTGACCAGAGCCCCTTCTTCCACGTTTGCTGTGTCCCCCACATGGCTTCTCACAAACTGCAAACGGGACTTCTTATGGCTCTCCTCCAACAATGGCTTTCTTCTTGCCACTCCTCCATAAAGGACAGATTTGTGGAGTGACGACTAATAGTTGTCCTGAGGACAGATTCTCCCCCTGAGCTGTGATCTCTGCAGCTCCTCCAGAGCTCCCATGAACCTCTTGGCTGCTTCTCTGATGAATGCTCTCCTTGCCCGGCCGGTCACTTTAGGTGGACGGCCATGTCTTGGTAGGTTGGCAGTTGTGCCGTACTCCTCCCATGTTCGGATGATGGATTGAACACAGAGCTCCGTGAGATGGGCAAAGCTTGGGAGATTGTTTTATAACCGAACCCTGCTTTAAACTTCTCCGCAACTTTATCCCTGACCTGACTGGTGTGTTCCTTGGCCTTCATGATGCTGTTTGGTCACTAATGTTCTCCAACAAACCTCTGAGGGCTTCACAGAACAGCTGGATTTATACTGAGATCACATGACACACAGGGGGGCTCTATGTACTAATCAGGTGACTTCTGAAGGCAATTGGTTCCCCTAGATTTTAGTTAGGGGGATCAGAGTAAAGGGGGCTGAATACAAATGCCGCCACACTTTTCACAGGTTTATTGGTCACAAATGTTGGAAACCATTTCTCATTTTACTTCCACTTCACAGTTATGTGCCACTTTGTGTTGGTCCATCACATCCAATCCCGAGAAATACATTGCTGTTCGACCTTGGAGCCCTCTGTGGGTGGCCCTTGGAGCCCAGGTCCTCTGATGTTATCCTCGAAGCTCTCTGATGGTGGCCTTCGACCACAAATCCAGGGAAGCGCATGCCCAGGGTTGGCAACTCATTGTTTGCCGTCTTGGCTTGACAACCCGCCATCCTAGAGCATCAGTGCATCGCACCAGCAGTGGATGGAGCGGGAGTCATATAAGCCGATGCTTCCTCTGTAGCACCAGCTCCTGTCCCAGGCAGAGTGGCCCCAAATGCACTTCACCTGGGACCTTCCTAGCAGCCTGGAGATGGAGAGCAAGGAAAGGTCTGCGTATTAAACATCAGATGCACTGCGCTGTACAATGGGCATATTGGCACCTATAAAAGGATTGGCGACTATTAAGCTTCTTTCCCACTGACTCGCGGGTGCAGCGCAGCGCATGCATGGGTTGGCTGCACACTGAGCCATAGACTTCTGTTCTATTCTGCAGCTTTGGTGAAAGTGCATCCCACCCGCAATCTAGAACAGAAGTGGATGGGAAAGCTGCAGGTACATTGCACTGCATCGGTGGTGCGGGCAAACTGCAGCGCATCAGTCTGAAAGCAGCCTTTCACCACAACCCCCTCCCAATATGGGTGTAGCGTCAGGATTTGCAATGGCGACTCCGCCCCATACTTCATGGTGCCCATGCAACCTCCCTATCACATTCTGAAAGGAGGGGCCGCAGGGGTGGCATATACAGGAACCGACCCCCCCCCCTCCATCTTCCTCCTGCAACTGCTGAACGCCGGCTTCTCCTCCTCTCTCCCTCCCGCCAGCATTCAGTGGCTGCAGGAGGAAAACGTTCACTATATTCAAAATTCTGAACCATTTCATTGTGGCCCGCGACCAATCACCAAATCGCTGAAGTGGCCCCTGCTCTTCAGAAAGCTGAGCGCCCCTGATCTAGAAACCAGAAATCGCTGTATAGACACCTCTACTGCACCACCACTCCAGTGATCTGCTGCTTTGTGGCCTCAGGAGGTCGGCCGCTCGCCATGGACGCCATTCAGAGATCTTTATATTTTCTCTGATTGGAGGAGGTGGAAAGGCGGGGAAGTTTAGGTAAATCTGAAGGTAAATTGTGCAAAGGTTGTACAATCTGGTAGTAATGTGTATGGCCAGCTTTGGTGGTTGGGTTACGGGGGACCTGCTGGTCTTGACAGTTGGGTGGAGGTTTAGGATTGGGAGTATGAGCGCTGTTAGATGTCGTCTGCTGGTGTGACCGGGAATTTAGCGACCTCTATCCATCTGTATATCTTCTGTGTGTAAAGGTTGTGTATGTTCTGTATGTAGAGAGGCTTCCTCGCTCCTCAGAAAAATGTTCACATTGGATCCAGCTACCGGCCAATCGCATAGAGCAGGGTGACGCTTTGGGGGAATTCCTGAAAAGGAATTTCAAGCCGTCTGTGTCACACCTAATGCGATTCTTCACATCTTTTCCCCAAAAATAGAAAAGAATTCTGTTACATTGTTACTGGTAGAATGATCTCAGTGTGGAGAGATGACAGAAATAACTAATTATATATATATATACTATATTGTCCCCCCAGCCTTCCCACCCACATGACCTTTAATGCCCCCCCAGTCTTAGTCCGTAGGGTTCAATATTGAGTTGGCCCGCCCTTTCCACACACAACCTTTAATGCCCCCCCAGTCTTAGTCCGTAGGGTTCAATATTGAGTTGGCCCCGCCCTTTCCACACACATGGCCTTTAATGGCCCCCCCAGTCTTAGTCCGTAGGGTTCAATATTGAGTTGGCCCCGCCCTTTCCCCACACATGACCTTTAATGGCCCCCCAGTCTTAGTCCGTAGGGTTCAATATTGAGTTGGCCCCGCCCTTTGCAGCTATAACAGCTTCACCTCTTCTGGGAAGGCCCCCCACAAGGTTTAGGAGGGTGTCTATGGGAAGGTTGGACCATTCTTCCAGAAGCACATTTGTCAGGTCAGGCACTGATGTCGGGGGAGGGGGCCTGGCTCACAGTCTCCGCTCTAATTCATCCCAAAGGTGTTCTATGGGGTTGAGGTCAGGACTCTGTGCAGGACAGTCAAGTTCCTCCACCCCAAACTGGCTCCTCCATGTCTTTATGGACCTTGCTTGGTGCACTGGGGGACAGTCATGTTGGAACAGGAAGGGGCCATCCCCAAACTCCTCCCACAAAGCTGGGAGCATGAAATTGTTCAAAATGTCGCCTTAAGAGTTCCCTTCACTGGAACTAGGGGGCCAAGCCCAACCCCTAAAAAAACAACCCCACACCATTATCCCCCCTCCACCAAACTTTACACTTGGCACAATGCAGTCAGGCAAGTACCGTTCTCCTGGCAACTGACAAACCCAGACACATCCATCGGATTGCCAGACAGTGAACCGTGATTGGTCACTCCAGAGAACACGTCTCCTCTGCTCTAGAGTCCAGTGGCGGCGTGCTTTACACCACAGCATCCAACGCTTTGCATTGCACTTGGTGATGGAAGGCTTGGATGCAGCTGCTCGGCCATGGAAACCCTTTCCATGAAGCTCTCTACGCACTGTTGTTGGGCTCATCTGAAGGCCACACCAAGTTTGGAGGTCTTTAGCTATTGACTCTGCAGACAGTTGGCGACTTCTGCGCACTGTGCGCTTCAGCATGCGCTGACCCCGCCCTGTCATGTGACGTGGCCTACCACTTGGTGGCTGAGTGGCTGTTGTTCCCAGTGGCTTCCACTTTGTTATAATCCCACTAAGAGTTGGGCGTGGAATATTTAGTAGCCGGGAAATGTCACGGATGGACTTATTGCCCAGGTGGCCACCTATCACGGGACCACGCTTGGAGTCACTGAGCTCCTGAGAGCGACCCATTCTTTCACCAATGTTTGTAGAAGCCGTCTGCTTGCCTAGGGGCTTGATTGTATCCACCTGTGTCCATGGAGGGGATTGGAACGCCTGAATCACATGATATGGAGGGGATTGGAACGCCTGAATCACATGATATGGAGGGGATTGGAACGCCTGAATCACATGATATGGAGGGGATTGGAACGCCTGAATCACATGCTATGGAGGGGATTGGAACGCCTGAATCACATGCTATGGAGGGGATTGGAACGCCTGAATCACATGATATGGAGGGGATTGGAACGCCTGAATCACATGCTATGGAGGGGATTGGAACGCCTGAATCACATGCTATGGAGGGGATTGGAACGCCTGAATCACATGCTATGGAGGGGATTGGAACGCCTGAATCACATGCTATGGAGGGGATTGGAACGCCTGAATCACATGCTATGGAGGGGATTGGAACGCCTGAATCACATGCTATGGAGGGGATTGGAACGCCTGAATCACATGCTATGGAGGGGATTGGAACGCCTGAATCACATGCTATGGAGGGGATTGGAACGCCTGAATCACATGCTATGGAGGGGATTGGAACGCCTGAATCACATGCTATGGAGGGGATTGGAACGCCTGAATCACATGATATGGAGGGGATTGGAACGCCTGAATCACATGATATGGAGGGGATTGGAACGCCTGAATCACATGATTTGGAAGGGGCGTGTATATTATTATATATATTTTTTTTTTTTTGGTCCTGGTGAAAAGGGACAGGACTACAGAACAACTCCAACCCCCCCCCCCCCCCCCCCCCCCCCCCCACCCCCCCCCCCCCCCCCCCCCCTTATCACCCTTTAACACATTTCTTATCCCAGGATGACCACACTCTCTACAGGACAGATAAGTTGCACCGGCCTTGATACAGTGATATCTCTAACTTGCGGAGTTCTAAGCCAATCAGCACATCCTCTAATCTCTATCCAAGCTGAATCCATTCTACCAGCTGCATTCAGGAGGTCATCAATCATAGATCCCATTAAAGTGTTACTCCGTTCATAACTGAGTGATTGTCTGTCAAACTATCCCAGCACTGAACTGTGGCCTGAAGGGGTGTACGCAGGCTGGTGGCCTGAGGGGGTGGCGCGCGCGGGCTGGCGGCCTGGTGCTGAGGGGGTGCGCGCGGGCTGGCGGCCTGGTGCTGAGGGGGGTGCGCGCGGGCTGGCGGCCTGGTGCTGAGGGGGTGCGCGCGGGCTGGCGGCCTGGTGCTGAGGGGGGTGCGCGCGGGCTGGCGGCCTGGTGCTGAGGGGGTGCGCGCGGGCTGGCGGCCTGGTGCTGAGGGGGTGCGCGCGGGCTGGCGGCCTGGTGCTGAGGGGGTGCGCGCGGGCTGGCGGCCTGGTGCTGAGGGGGTGCGTGCGCGGCGGGCTGGCGGCCTGGTGCTGAGGGGGGGTGCGCGCGGGCTGGCGGCCTGGTGCTGAGGGGGTGCCCGCAGGCTGGCACTCAAGGGGTTAAATCAGACATTGCCAGGCGAGTAGCATTTTCAACAAGCGGCCAGCCCACATCAGAGCGACTTCAAGAAACCGCGGCACGGCCTGTGCTCTGCACGCCGTCCATTTGTCACGTTCACTTTCTCTTTGCCGGCTATTTCTGACCCCCCGCCTCCCCTCCGCCCCCCATGTCAGGACAGCTGAAGATTACACTGCACACGGCTTTCTCCGGGGAGGAAACGCTGAAATAAAGGACGCCATTGTCCGATCCATCCAATTCTACAGGAGACAACTGTTCTTCACATCGAACTTCCTGAATCAGAAGAGCGAGAAAAGCGTAGCCGATCGGTGCGCGGGGGGGGAGGGGTTGTGACTTCAGCTCATTCATAGCGCAGACAAGGGCCTAATCTGTCGTTTGTTTTAGCTCGGCGCACTTCCCGCGTCCAAGAGGAAATGATTCACCGGGAGAGCTTTACCGCACGGCGTTCACCGCCACATAAACCGGGAGGATTTCTGAGCGCCGTATTGGAATGAGATCAGCTATTTCTGTGCATCGCCAAACGCCGCCGCCGCAGTCTGCAGCCTATTTATAGACGGCCGGGGTGGATAGATTGCCTTTTATATAGACGGGAAATATTCATTCTCACAGTTCTCGGGGAAGGCACTCTGGAACATTCCCGGCTCCAGATCCAACGTCACACTCCCAAAAACCTCCAGACTCCCAATCCCAAAAACCCCCCCAGATTCCGTCCGAGACCCCGAATAGTGGAAACCCCCAATGGGATGAGAATGGGGTAAAGCGCTGCAGAACATTAACAACTGACTTGTTTTAATAAAATGTTTTCTTTTACCTTTTCTCATCCTTTTACAACTCAGTGCTGCTGATCTCCTGCTGCCTCTTTGCCACCACTTCATGGCTACATGCATTCCACCAATTACTGCATTGCCTTTCTCGATGGGGAGGGACCCAGGACTGTAATGTAAAGGAGGAGGGGGGACCGAGGACTGTGATTGGGGGGGGGGGGGGGGGAGGACTGTGATGTAAAGGGGGGGGTGGGGGGAACAAGAACTGTTCTGTAAAGGGGGGGCGGGGGGGAACGAAGGACTGTGATGTAAAGGAGGAGGGAACGAGTACTGTGATGTAAAGGGGGGTGGGGGGGAACGAGGACTGTGATGTAAAGGGGGATGGGGGGTACAAGGACTGTGATGTAAAGGAGGAGGGAACGAGTACTGTGATGTAAAGGGGGGGAACGAGGACTGTGATGTAAAGGGGGAGAGGGTAGAACCGAGGACTGTTCTGTAAAGGGGGGCGGGGGGGGGGGAACGAGGACTGTGATGTAAAGGAGGAGGGAACGAGTACTGTGATGTAAAGGGGGGTGGGGGGGAACGAGGACTGTGATGTAAAGGGGGGTGGGGGGGAACGAGGACTGTGATGTAAAGGGGGAGAGGGTAGAACCGAGGACTGTTCTGTAAAGGGGGGCGGGGGGAACGGAGGCTGTGATGTAAAGGGGGAGGAGACTGAGGACTGTGTTTAGGGCAACTGAGGACTCGTGTTAAAGGGCGGTGTGGGAGAGCTAAGGCCTGCCAATGGGAAGGACCGAGGGGAAGGGGGGAATGGGAACTATGATGAGGAGGAAGCCACTGCTCAAGAAACCCCTATCCAACTCAGTCCTTAGGTTTCCCCGCAGGACATGTTTTTGGAACTTGACATTGATTTAAAGCACCTCCTGCTAGGTAAAGGAAATCCTGAGAACATGACCTGTTGGGGGCACTTGAGGACTGAGGTTGGGAACCACTGTGTTAGAGCAACCTCAACTTTTGTACCCCAGAGGATCCTTTCAAATAATTTTTTTTTTGGTCTGTTCAGAAACTCCTTTGCAAGTTAGTCTTTTGAGGGTTTTTGGGGAAAATCCCCTTAACATTGGTAGTGGATTGTGGGAAGAATGACCCCCCCCCCCCCCCCCCAGCCATAGGGGTGGCCAGCATGACACATTGCAGTCATGCCACTGGCTCTGCCAAGTGGTGGTGTATTGGAACTATTCTGGCGCCATCAGATGGTAGGTCAGCTCAAGGAACCTCTAACCACCACTGAATAAACCCTAGGGTTGCAGGAAACCCTGGTCAAGAATGGAATGGCTGCCCTAGAGGAGCTCTCGGCTTCCATGGAGCCCTGGTTGAGAATGGAATAGCTGCTCCAGAGGATTCTTGGCTTCCACGGAACCCTGGTCAAGAACGGCTGCTCTAGAGCAGCCATTCTCAACCAGGGTGCCTTCAGGCTTCTTCAGGGGTGCCTTGACAGAATGCCCAAACATTGTATACAGGCCAGTGGATGGCCCAAGCTTGCCTGTTACACAAAGGCACAGGTTTTCATTGTGCACCATTACTACCTTCCAGCCACCAATGTCCTGACCACCAATGATGTCATCATTTGATAAGGAGAAAATCGGGCCCCTATACAGCATCCTTGTTTTTCTCCTCTCCATCAGCACTGGGGTCTCATTAGATGAGTGAGGGAGAGAAACTCTGAGAGAAGAGAAACACGGGAGCACGGGTCAGTACCCGTGTGCAAGGTGTGTTTGCGTTAGAATAAATCGCCTCTATCGTTGGCTGTCCTATGTGTGTGGATGTAGCTTCGTTATGTAAAACTATTAGTTTCATTTTTTACAATTTCGAATGGAGTGCCCCGAGAATGTGCAGGACTTTAAAGGGTGCCTTGACTGAAAAAAGGTTGACAAACTCTGCTCTAGAGGAACCCTCAACTTCCACGGAACTCTGGTTGAGAACGGAATGGCTGCTCTACAGGAATCCTCAGCTTCCATAGAACCTTGGTTGAGCATGGCTTCTGTAGAGGAATCCTCAGCTTCCATTGAACCCTGGTTGAGTGTGGCTGCTGTAGAGGAATCCTCAGCTTCCATTGAACCCTGGTTGAGAGTGGCTGCTGTAGAGGAATCTTCAGCTTCCATTGAACCCTGGTTGAGAGTGGCTGCTGTAGAGGAATCCTCAGCTTCCATTGAACCCTGGTTGAGTGTGGCTGCTGTAGAGGAATCCCCAGCTTCCATAGAACCTTGGTTGAGCGTGGCTGCTGTAGAGGAATCCTCAGCTTCCACTGAACCTTGGTTGAGAGTGGCTGCTGTAGAGGAATCCTCAGCTTCCACTGAACCTTGGTTGAGAGTGGCTGCTGTAGAGGAATCCTCAGCTTCCACTGAACCTTGGTTGAGAGTGGCTGCTGTAGAGGAATCCTCAGCTTCCACTGAACCTTGGTTGAGAGTGGCTGCTGTAGAGGAATCCTCAGCTTCCACTGAACCTTGGTTGAGAGTGGCTGCTGTAGAGGAATCCTCAGCTTCCACTGAACCTTGGTTGAGAGTGGCTGCTGTAGAGGAATCCTCTGCTTCCACTGAACCTTGGTTGAGAGTGGCTGCTGTAGAGGAATCCTCAGCTTCCACTGAACCTTGGTTGAGAGTGGCTGCTGTAGAGGAATCCTCAGCTTCCACTGAACCTTGGTTGAGAGTGGCTGCTGTAGAGGAATCCTCAGCTTCCACTGGACCTTGGTTGAGAGTGGCTGCTGTAGAGGAATCCTCAGCTTCCATTGAACCTTGGTTGAGAGTGGCTGCTGTAGAGGAATCCTCAGCTTCCACGGAACTCTGGTGGAGAATGGAATAGCTGCTCTAGAGGAATTCTTGGGTTCAATGGAACCCTTGTTGAGAATGGCTGCTCTAGAGGAACCCTTGTTGAGAATGGCTGCTCTAGAGGAATTCTTGGGTTCAATGGAACCCTTGTTGAGCATGGCTGCTCTAGAGGAACCCTTGTTGAGCATGGCTGCTCTAGAGGAACCCTTGTTGAGCATGGCTGCTCTAGAGGAACCCTTGTTGAGCATGGCTGCTCTAGAGGAACCCTTGTTGAGCATGGCTGCTCCAGAGGCTACAGCTGCAGAGGTCAGTGAGGACTTGTATTAAAGCACCTTCACCAGTTTGGAAGATGGAAATACTTGAATGTCTTGGCCTAACCACCGGTTCATTTAAATGGGCACCTCCACCTCGCACAGCAGTCAATATCCTGCAAAAAGTATTCTAGGTCCGGCACGGTTGTCTCCAGATGTCAACAATGGCGCATTTTGGGACTTTGATAGCAACAGCTGCTCTGACCGGTTCCCTTTAATTCCGTTCTTCGCCTTTAGGCCACAGTGAGAATTCTGAATTAAAGTCCCACCCGACCATTTCACAGGCCCAGGATAGGAGCTGCCCAAAGAGG